CTTTAGACACCCTGCCTCGTCAAAGATGCTTTGTTGGTGTAGCACATTCCTGCACAAACCTCGGGATCGCGTATTCCTGTCTTGAAATACCTCACAATACTGTAATCGGCCAGGCCGATCAGTGGGCAGAAGTGCCTGCTCTGGCTGGTAATGACATGCGTGCAACTTGTCTCGCCATAAAGTACGACATACCGTAGGCTGTGATGCGTTCAGTGTATTAGCAATTCCTAGAATACCGGCACCTTGGTTAACATCAACATAGTCCAACGCATCATGCTCGATGTCTAACCGTGGTCGGCCAACATCATGGTATCTTTTGCGTACAGTACCTGTTTCACGCCAACTTTGATGAACTAGCATGAATCCATGTGCATGTGGTTAACGTCGGGCTGGAAACTTTTCCGGATATCGACGATTCCCAGACCATGCATTACACAGCATTTCGCCATACATGAGATGCATGTCTGTCAGTTCCATTCCATCATACACGATGTGAAGAAATGTCTTCTGTGTAAACTACCAAAACAATGCTAGCAGGCTGGTAACCTCGTCGCCACTTGGTACGATAACGGGAGCTTGCCAACATTGTCTTCTAAGACCGTCCACAGACTGGTATAAAAACCTGTTGTATATGGTCTAGAACATGCGCTAGGGTGTCAGTTGATACGTCATGCACAAGGGTGACACAGGCTGCCTGCGTCCCAGGCAATCACCAATCAGCATTCCAAATAAATGTGTGATTGATGAGGTAACATTCGGGATTTGCTGATACTTCCGAGATAACTTTTTTATTGACTTTTACATGCTGATTACTATATTGTCATGTCAAATCGCTGCAAAATTCTAAGTAATAGGGGAAGGGTGCCAACGTCTATTTAATGTATGAAGTTGTACACTCGTTTCTGTTGCTAGCTACACTGTGCCGATTTGCCTGTAAACTAATTTTCGTTGCTTGATAGCAAGTAATTTCCAATTTATCATTGCATAACGCATTCCCAATCTCCACATTCGGGGGTGTCTACCAGCCCTTCAAATCACTGAAGACCGTAAGTCGTATTTATTTTTCGTAAGGATTCCGCTCTCTCCGCGTTAGCATCCATTAACCACTCATCCATTATACAACAGACTAATCGTGGTTACTTCCATCTTTCCTGAAGCCCTGCTAAAATACTGCTTTTAGCTACTCATTGCGTGTTCTTTTGCAACGTATTTGTGAGCCGGACAGTCAATTTAATACTTAACAGTGAAGTGTTTTTCCCACTACGTATTCTTTAAAATCTAAATATGATACATAAAATATTTAAATAAGAAATTATAGTATAAAAGCTACAACAAATTTTTTTACATAAGAACGATTTCTTAGTAGCTATTACTAGCACACGCCTTCTCCCTCTGTTCTTAATAAATATTTACTAAGAATAAGTATTATAATTTAGTTACATACAAAATATTACCGTAAATTTTATTTAACCAAACAATGTAGCCTACGTACGTTAGTATAAATGGAATTACGAAACCCTGGTGAGATGTGATTTATTTGAAAAATTGCCAAACATCTCATATATGGAGTGATTTTTAAAAATGTTCACTCAAGAGATGTGAAGATACTGGCAATATACTTACCCAGTAATAACATATTTTACTGAAGTAGTTCATACTTTAATCCAACAAGATGTAGCAGTTACTAAGGCGGTGAACAATTTTTTTTAGCGATTGTAATTGTTTGCTTTTTAACACAGAATCGTGCTCTTTAACTTATTCCCAAAGCCAAAGGCTAAACTGTTTTCTGCCGTTCAGCCCGTTAACAATAAGCATTTATCTAGATGAAAAGACAAATTCACCCTTAGAAAAAATTATAATACTGTCTCTCTCATATAAGATGGCAAGATTTTGACAGTTCAACGAATGTTTACTTTTAGTTTATGTAGTCTATCCTTTTGCCATCAGCTGGTGCGTCAGTTGGAATCTACACGAAAACAAGGAAATGGGTTTACGGAAGAAAAAAAAAAGTGTGTTTAGGACATAGACGGACAATATTACTGGCCCAATATAAATTACTAGTAATCAAAATCGTTGTACACGAAATATATGTTACTTTAAAAGTTATGCAGAGCTCGCGGAAAAATAAAAACTATTGGCATCTGTTCGTAAATTTGTTATTTTACATACGAAACATATTCATTTGAGCGTTATAGTTGGTTGGGTTCGAGAAAGAACCCACAGATGGCACGCACTACATAGTAAAGCATGCAAGCCAGGCGTGGTACCAACAGATCGCAGCAGGTTCGCCGCCGCCTCTAGATCCTGCTTTTTAAAACTTGGCTTTTCTGCTGTAACTGTCTCGAAACGACACGAATTAAAAATATATTTCATCAAATTATTTGAAAAATAATTCAATATTATCATGCAATATTTCTGTAGTCTTTTGGAATCAATATCAAACTCATATGGAAAGCATGGATGGACAGTGGGAATACGAAATGAACATCTAAGGTTTGAAGTCGCGTTTAATTCGCCTATGAATCGTCTTATTGAGTATTTGATTTTGAACACCTATACATTACTACTTTAGCACGAAGATTAGTTTGTAACCTGTTTTGTGACCACATAAAATAAAATATATTAGTTAATCTGGGAACTCTTTGTTATCGCGTATTTTACACTTGTCTGATATGCGTCGCCAGTGCACTCAGAATAGCCAACTTAATAATAACTCTTGTTCGTTCGGGCATCAGCTGACGCACGATTTTGTAAACGGCACTTTGTTTGGTTCGTATGCGTCAAGTTGCCACTCACTAACTGTCAAAATCTTGCCATATTATAAGAGATAGGCAGTACTTTCATGGACCCACAAATTTCGAGAGTAGTTTTCAATGTACAATTGTTAAAACCTATTTACGGACTTTGTTATTGGATAAAAACTATTATAGAACGAAATCTTAAGCACTTTTATCCGTACTGTTATAAACTTGTTGGCCCGTCATCAGACTTGTAGTTTATGCCCCCGATACCCTCATTATCTACAAATAAAACTTTTGAAAAAGCCTTTCATTAATTATATATATATATTTTCTGGTTTCCTAAGTAAATAATAGACAGGATGCGTTTTATAATCTTGGTAAAAATCGCCGTGCCTTATTTTTTTAGTTAAAAGGAACTTCCAGTTATATTTTGTATATAAACGATATTTATTTTTTGTCGATATGAATTGAAAACGTCGCCAAAAGATCTATGTTGGTAACGGCTAGTAAGAGATGAGTCTTACACAAGATATTATTTAATTCAAAGTCGCGGAATTCAGCTGGCTAGTTACTGATAACTAAATCAGCAGTGAATACTCTTGTTTATGTATACACCATTAAGAATAAGTTCTTCTCGCTCTTCTATCTCAATAATGTAAAAGTTACACACCACAGCGTGTTTGTCATAACATCCTTCAACAAAGCGACTGGATGTCTAGAAGAGTTAAGTTAACAATGTATTGGCCTCAGTTGGTGTTCACCGCTGACGTCAAAATCCCACATGCGCGTTCAAGTGAGTGAGTAAATTAAGAGATCTGGGCGGTTCTTAACATCGAGGTCTTGAGAGCCGATGAGGGTAAAGTGTGGCGAGTATGGAGCAGCGCCGGAATGCAAGCGCGGGGGAAAACGGGAGATCCCCGAGAAAACCCGCCGACAAGCGGCATCGTACGGCACGATCCCTACTTGCGACAGTTCGGGGTGAACCGACCGGGGATTGAGCCCGGTTAGCCTAGGTGGGACGCGAGAAGTCTAATCGCTCAGCCACCGGTTTCCCTGCGCATTCGAAAAAAAAAAAAAAAACCGGCAAATTGGGCGTGGAAAGTATCCTGATTTGCAGAGAGCACCGCGACATGCCCTGGCGTAAATATTTTTGATTTTACTGTATTTTTATTTCGCTGCGAGGAGCAGAAACAGCCTCGAAGGCATGGGTAGGTTACTAGGAAAAGGTGGGAAGGGTTACGAAGGGGGGGGGGGGGGCAGGCAGCGAAAGCGAGAATCTAATTAAATTACGAAGCACAGTTCCTGGTAACAGGAAGTCAGTTGATTAAATTTTTACAACGGCTGAAAACTGCTCGATGCGAGAAGGGAGGAAGGAACATCTGAACAAACATACCAGAACGCGAAATTAGAACTTAACGTGGTAGAGGCAGCGCTGCGTTGCTTGTTGCAAAGTTCGTTTTATTCTTTGACGCGCGTCCTTTTTTTTTTTTTTTTTCTCCTCGCGGAATGTATCTCTGGTGGCCGGTTGCTAGGCGTGCGGATGTATGTTCTCAAACTGAACATGCTCGAGACGCATGTCGTATAAAGTAACAGCCAAATTAAGGGGAATCGATAGTATAATATTGTCTGTTACATCTATAGTTGTACGTACACGTCTAACTCAGTAAATAAGTATTAGGAATACGTTTTTTCCCAAGAATATATATATATATATAATAGAATGGTGTCACCTCAACAAGAGATTTAGCCTGTAAGTCGATAATGGCAGTGTTCCTCAGAAGAAAGGGCCTGCGACATTTTTTGATCATTTCAATACTGTATTTGGTTTATTTCTCCTCACAGTTAAATCGAGGCTTTCGGGAGATCCGACCTCGGTGTCTGTCGCTATGTCGTTTAATGGAAGTTGGAAAATATTAATGAATTACTAAACTATTTTACTGTTAACTTCTACAAAATTAAATTTTACGACTGGTAAAATTGATCTATTAGTGACATGACTTATAACATTCTGGAAGCCTACATATGCTACTGTAACTTTAAATCGCGGTAGTGAATTTGTTATATTTCAAAGCAAAATTCCTTCGTCTGGCTTCTTCCTCCCCAGAAGTGTGAATTACATAATGCAGAATATCTCGTTAATCTGATTGAGTAGCCGGTGCTACTTACATACATATTCCAAGGTCATCGCAAGTTGAGGAACATAAAAGTTACTTATGTTAGCCTATGTTAGTTAGGAGAGTAGATCACCCTTACAGATGGCGCCCAACGTGGGGCTCGAACCCACGACTATGAGATGAAGAGTATCACGATCAATGACTGAGCTAGTTGAGCAACTTACTCATTCCACAGTCGTTTCAAGTTGAGGGAAATAAAGTTTCATTACTAAGCATATAGTTATTAGTAAGTAGTAAGTAATCCTTACAGTATTCAAAGAGAAAAAAAGTATCGATTATGGTTAAAAACTGAATATTTGTTTTTCTGTGCGTTTCCTCAAGGGAAAATAGAAAAGTACACAATCGCATTTGTACACTATAAATCTGAATCAGTGAGAATTTCACTGTTTCAATCAGTCAAATGCACCTGACTGATTCAACAGTCACTTAAGTGAGTTTAACTAATGAATCAGTGGAAAAAAATGCCAGGTTTCCTTCACTTATTGATTCAGTGGCATTTTGCACTGATTCATCAGTCATTATTTTCACTGTTTACTCAGTGGTTTATTTTTGACTTATGGCTCAGTTAAACAGCGTGTAAAAATGGCCGTTAGAGAACGTTTGAAAATTGCCGATTAACAACGTGTACCAAGTGAAATAATATCGCATAAACTAACAAGACCAATACAAAATACTTTGTCAAATGGGCTTCGTCTGTTAAATCACCATTTCATGGGTAATTTGAACTCTCAGTCTTTCATTCCGTTTTAATGTCCATCAATTAGTTTTCATGTAATCGTTTAAAGGTGAATGTTAACTCATATATAGGCTACTTTAACAATCTTAACGGTACCAATTAAACCAGAAACGAAAAGTAAGGGCACACGATTAATATTTTCACGATTTCAGTGCAGTTATAATACGTGCATTTTCCTGCTGATCTCAACTTGAATTGGTAGCGCAGCTGGTATGGTAGCGAATTGGAATACTGTAGTGGAAGGATGTGTGGGTTTAATCCCAGCCACCTCTTTTACTTTTTTTTTAAATACGATAAATTGCGCAGTATAAATAGTAAACTGTCTTAAATGTGTTTATTTCACGCAATTATTTGGCTACATTCATTAAAAATAATATTTAGTTCGCCGCTGTAGTCGGCTGTCACTTATACTTTCTGTGAAAAAATTTCACGTTACTTATTCAATCAGGGGAATTTTTTTTTTTCACTGAAACAATCTGTGGTTTTCCACTGATTCTAGGTGGAGCCATTTTCACTGATTCGAGTAGTTGAATTCCACTGCAAATCAGTAGTCGAATTTAGAGTATAGTTTGATACATCGGTTTACAACGCGTGTAATAATATCCTGTTGGTACAAATCTAATTTGGGGGAAACTCAGCGTGCAGCAGGTTTTGGGGGACCATCGCACTGTTTACTTATGGCCAGGTAATCATCACCTTGAGTCGTTAAGTAAATTTTTACTTTGGAATTCCCCTCGATAATGCGATTTCGTGATTATTAACGTGCAGCAAGAGGCGAGAAAGTGGTGCTACATCAGCTGCGGAAGAGGAACTTACTGTTGGCGGTTTCTTCACACGTTATAAATAAAACATTTGAAAAATAACCTTACGTATGGCGTGTTAGGTTGTTTCCTAAATATGACACAAGTTGCGAGTGTTTTATACGTGTGTTAACATAATAGTAGCTACCTTAGTATCCACTTAAATTGAAATTTTTCTTAGATTCTTATCCACAAATTGTAATATTTAATTTATAACTAACATGACTAAAAACAGGGACAAAAGTTGTGTTGGTAACGCCAAAAATAGTTCATATACAAAATAATATTACAGAGAGTGTGTGCTGATCCGCTGCGTTGTCCATTTGGTGTAATTTTCTAGACTAGGTTAATCTTTGTTAAAGGCAGTTCACGATAAAGTGAGCATTTTTGAAACGAACCTTAGAAAAAAGTCACTGCTCATGTATGCACATATTTTAATGAGCGCACTGAGTAGCATTCACCCAGTAAAGTTGGTAACGATGCATGGAAAGTCGTTTCCATATCGTAACGTCTAATAAAAAGTGTTAGGTAACCATTTCTTTCGCTTTCTGTTTTTTTTTTGTTTAATGATTCGAAGTGTAAAAATTAACAGATTTGTAAAGTATTTACTTTGTTAATAACTCCACAATTTCATTTGACCGACGTATGAATAAAGTGACGGGGCCAATGTCAATGTTAATCTCACATAAGGCGTATACAACGTGTATACAAGTAGATCTGAGGCAGGGCTTTCAAAAGTGCTCATTTTACCGTGAACCGCTTATAGCATGAGGTGGAGGAATACCCTGGAAGCAGGACTTCAGCAGAGTTTCAGGAAAGTTGGAAGTAACCATTAACTGCCTATACCAACCGGGGGGGGGGGAGGGGGGATGGGGATTGGAGGAAGACAGTTTTAGCTAATACTTTTGCGCCTTATTACCAGATGGTGTAATCCTCTGGAATATCACAATTTGCTCCGTGCTAATCGGAATTCCTCGCAGTCAAGAAAATCAGACTCTAGGAAGGCCTAGTCAAACAAAGATTCAGTGTTGGATAGCTTAGATCAACTGGTAATAATGGAATATCTGGAGTTCCGGACTGAAGTTAGCTCTAATTGTAAAGTACACGCGAAAATTAATTAAACAGTTTGTCATTACCGGCACCTATGAAACATTTCGTAACATATAGAGAGAGACAAGATTACTGTACATGGCGAATAGCGATAAAACATAAATGATGCTGAAAGGGATGTTAATACACCGTAAAACACCGAATTTTCAACTTGACACAAAATAAAACCAAATTAATAAAATTATGTAATTTATTGGTAATACTTTAATAGTTTTGTCCAAAAATTATTTGTTTAATATTTTTGTAAGATAATGGCCGACAGTAATGCAAGTTCTATAGAAATTTCAACATTTGTACCAAACAATATCTTAATAGGTACCTGAAGTCTAATGAAATTTATTTGTTATTTTGTTTTAAATAAAATGCTTACTTTTAATTTCAGGAATATATTTAAATGCTATGTTTGATCAATTTTACGTCAAAATATACTTAACTATGTTACTTTTTAATGTATATATCATTAATAAGAATAACAACAATATAACCGAAATCTTGAATATTTTAAACGAAATCGACCAAAATATAAAAGCATAAAAAGTTGTCCTTAATTATGGACAATAAATGGACGTATGTTTTTTATAATGTTACATAAATAGCTGGATGGTGAGACTGTGAACTGATTATTTTTATAAGAACAAAGCTTGGCACTGTTTTGTTGTGATTAAACCATAGTTTTTCTTTAACCTCTGCCTCCCTTCGAATATTCTGAGCCACTCAGTCACCATTTCCGCTGTTGAGGTTCCTGACTCGTTTATTTCTACCTGTGAATTTCAATGTTGGAATCGTTTCTAAGTTTTGAAAATCTGTCTTTGTCGTTATTAAATATGCGTTTACATTAATTTACATGTAATCCGCCCTTATCGAGGTCGCACCGATAAATAAAATAAGTTAGGCTACCTATTAAAATAAAAATTCACTTGTTCATCCGAAAATATTTTACCATGAAATCAAATTGGTTAAATAAACGATTAAAATTGATTTTGTAACATTATTTATACATAGTCTTTCCTCCAAAGTCGTCTTAAGACATAGGTAATAATCTAATTTCATACGCAGTTGAGAAGATAATTTCACAACGATCCATGGTCATTACGGTGTTAACTACCAAGGCATATCTCTTGCAAAAAAGGCATAGCTGAAAAGCGTAGGTACTCTATATACAAATCAGTGAGAATAGAGCTAAATCAGCGAAAATTGTGAAAATTGAGTAACTGATAATCAGTACTTGATAACTAATTAACATTGCCAATGACTTTCACTGATTTATTTGTGATTCTCACGGAATGTCGAGAATTTCACAGCCATAAGTAACCTGTTCCGAGTTCATTTCCTCGATTTGCCAGTCGGCAGGAGCTTATCAACTGACTTTCAGTGGATGTTATTTCACTGATTGATATCACTGATTCGAGTTTAGAGTGTGCTTGTCATTTCCAGAGCACTCTGGGCGGAACTCACCCGTGCTCTCGTCAGGACTGAATTCCTGTACTTATCCCGAATCCCGAGTAGGGGAAGGTGAGGTAACTGCACGCTCTTAACTTTGACACATCGTATTTCTGTAAGTAAGTTGAAAACATCAACGAAGTTCGGTTGTAGCCATGCAACATTTAGTCAGTTTTAATATATCAAGAGTTTCAGCGCGTTGCGTAAAAAGCGGTATGTTATATATATATTATATTATTAAGATATGCATTGCGTAAGACTACCCGAATTGAGGAGGTTATCATACGCACTGCATTTGTGTTGCGTACCAATACCCCTCTGTGAAATTTATGGTACTCAGATATTTTCCCGAACTTTCCCTGAAAAGTAGTATATTTTGTCAGATGAAAATTTAACTAAATCATGAAATACACTTTTTATATTCTACTAGGGATTTAAAACAAAGAATTTTCTTATCATACTTAATACATGTCTATGTAAATATCAGCTAGTTCCTAATTTTTCGTAGCCCGTAAAGCAAGAATGAGCTAACGCGAACATAGGCATATTTAGATGCAATTTTATTTCTTTTATAATCTACATTGCTTATTATTTACTTCGAAAATGTATAACTATAAGGATAACAGAAAATAATATAACGTAATTGAAAATAAAGGAGAAAAGTTACAATTTTTCATCAAAAGAACCAATCAAAATACTTTCAGAAAATGTGTAAAAACTACATGACATATAATATCAAAAAATTATCAAAATAATTATCTATTTGCTTGACAAAAATCACATACAAAATTATGGTGACTTTCTGCAGCACTGCAGTCTGAATGGACTCATCCAGAACACCTACCACAACGTTACCACTGTTCTATGTCTTCACAAAACTCTCCACAAAATAAACAGTTCTCATTAGTGCCATTATTTACTGGGAAAGACGAAGCTAGCATATCCATATCTTCCACTTCATCATATTGACAAATATATGTTGCGTTTCCTTCGTTTTCGCTCGAAGAAATAGACCTAGGCCTACCATTGAAAAGATTTTTCTTTGCCTTCTTTTTCAGTTTTGTGGTTTTT